TGGAAAAATTCAATCCCATTTAAAAAAAAATTTTTTATTGCTTTATTTTTTACTATTTTTACCATTCTATTTCTAAAAGATGCGTAAAATGTATCATTATGGGAAAATAATGTAAGCATTTCCATATTTCAATACCCTTATTTTCCAGATTTTACTTGAAGAGTTTTTTTAGTATTTGAATTACAACTATCTGAAAACATCACTAGTTTCAAACCAGTGGGGCCCACATCAGCGAAGCTTTGCCTAATAGTTAACGCCTGAGGGCAGAAGGGACTTGAGAGCCAAATCTTTGAGTTTTCACAGAAGAAAGAGATGTTGCATAATGGGAAAAACTCCTCTCACCCATTAATTTGGTTGACAGTGGTGTGGCCCTTCAAGCTGTTTTGCCTTCAGGAAAGGGGCCCATAAAGGAGAGGGCCCCAGGCCCCTCACTGAGAATCTCTAGTGTAGGCCTCCAGTGGTCTTTAATGATACATAATTGGACCAGACCAGACCATGGGGCTTTAATAGCCTTTCTCTGCGGTCTGTAAGTTTGCAAAGGTTTGTTACCTACTGTCTTTCTTTAGGACATTGATGGAAAGTCCCAGCGCTCACATTTTATACTTATTAGTGATGCTTTTCAAGAGTTTCCAGGGTTAAAGTGACTTTTCATACTGTTTAATGATTTTCAGTTTAACTCCATTTCTGAGTGGGATGTTGTAAAGATTAATTAGCCAATGTTCATAAAGTGCTTTCAAGCTGAAAAGTGCTGCACAAGGGTGTACAGACTCATTAGCTTCTTAGTCATTACGGCTTTTTAGACCTTTCAGCATTCAGAAACTCGGTGGTGAAAGCCAAATTCGGATTTTTCTTGTGGAGGAGGGGGACTTCAAAAAGAGTAGAATAGAACAATATATCTTTAATATCTTTATTGTTATTATTATTATTATTATTATTATTATTTTTAAAAAGACATCTGTTGCACTGGGACTGAAAAAAAAGATATTAAAATATTTTGTTTTTCATTATCTTCTATTTTCCTACTGCTTCAGCTTCTTCTGACTCCCTCCTTTCAAAATGTGTTTTCCTGCTTATCCTGCACATTTATTTAGCAATTCTACAAATTGTATTGTCATATGGATATTCAAAATAGAGTTGAATCTGGCCCCAGAATGTTGAATTGTTGTGACAATGAATGACAGTGATCATTCCTTTTGTAAATAAATATGTGCTCTCAGTTTACAATGTGTCATGAAGGTATGATATTGTCTCTATCCGTAGTAATCTTTGGTCATTATACATATTAGAGTTTTATATGATTTATGAAGCTTTTGATTGAGGCTGGAAAACTACAAATTGGTCACCAAAGACAGAAAGATGTCCTAGTAGAAACCAAAGACAAAGATGGATAAACTATAAAGAATTAGCTTGGCAGCTGACTTTTTAGCAGCATGAACTGTGCATGATAGGGTAATAATATCATCTAAGTACTTAGAGAAAATAGCTGTCAACCTAGAATTGTATACCCGGCTAAATTACTTTTTAAGATTGATCATAAAATAAAGACATTTTTATACAAAAGCAAAACAAATCATTTACCACCAGTGCTAAAGGATATTCTAAAGGATTGTCTTCAAAAAGAAAGAAAATGACCCCAGAAGGAAGGAAAGAGATGCTGGAAGGAATGAAGAGGAAAAATTGTAAAATATGTGGGTAAATCTAAATAAGCACTGAATAATAATAATAATGGTGATGTCCAATTTTCAGTAACAAAACAAGAAAGAACAAGAAAAAAAAATGTAACATGTATACCAGGAAAGCAGTGTTGAGAGTTAAAGTATTCCAAGATCCTTATCTTAATTGCAAGGAGGCTAAAGATAAATTTAAATTTTTTTAAGTATGTACATAAAAATTCTAGTTTAATCACTAAATAAAGGAAATGTTATACAGTAAAGGCGAGAATCAATGGAATGAGAAAATAAATTAATAGTTACTAGCTCAGTAAAAAAGGGAGTGAAGAAATATAATGTGGATTTTAGTAACTGTTCCTGGGGCTATTACAATTACAAATACTAAATTACTATGTTGTGGAGTTTATATATATATATATATGTGTGTGTGTGTGTGTGTGTGTGTGTGTGTGTGTGCGCGCGTATATATATATATATATATATATATATATATATATACCTATAGGACAAATAAAAAAAGCAATCAACAGCCTTAATGACATGCAAACAGGTGTTTCTGGCCTGGGATAAAATCTTCAGTAACAGTATCATACAGTTTACACAGGCCATGTGTTACAGGAGAGGAACCTCAAATGTAGGGAACCAAAATCTTTTATAAAGGACAGTAAGCCTGTCTAATCTCTCCTCCAGAGGGTGATATTATCTTAATTATGCTGCATAATAAACAATTATGCTCTTTGCTCTGGAAGAAGACATTATATATTTTCCAAGGCTGTTCACTATACAAACACCCTTGAAAGATAGAGCCATTGCCTTTGTTTCTAAGATGTGCAGAAATGTGAGCGATCCATGGAGAGTTATCTCCAGCAACTCTGGATAAGTTCATAAAGCCTCAGTTTTCTCATCTGAAAAATGAAAAGAATGGTATAACATACGTAGTTCTGAGGATCAAATAATATAGTACATATAAAATACTTAACATCATATCTAAGGACTTTGTCAACATCAATTACTATTATAAATGATTGTTTCTTGAATAAGATGTGAGTATGCTTATTGTATTATTTGTTTTCTCTAGCAAACAGGATATTGCAACTCACTGATGTTTCTACTTATCAGAATCACCAAATAGTAGGACCAGAAATATTTTCCAGTAAAACCAGACATTTAACAGATAAGCAAATAAGTTCAGAGAGGTTAAGTGGCTTGTTGACTTTCTCACAGACAGCTAAATAAAAGACAATGGCCATCTGATTTAAAATTCAGATTCTTTTTAATTGTATGCAATGCTTGGAGCTCAATAAATATTGATATTACAAACGAATTGAAGCAAGTCTATGATATATGAGAACATTTCACATGTTCATTTGGTTATTCTCTTTTTCCTACTTGCTTGACCTATAAAAAAACACCTTAAACTTGGCCCCTGAAGGCAAATAAAGAAAAAGAAGGAAGGAAAGAAGGAAGGAAGGAAGGAAGGGAGGGAGGGAGGGAGGGAGGAAGGAAGGGGAGAGTTAAATTAAGTAATCCATATTTCCTCCTCTCCTCCACCTCCATCATAGTCAATGTCTCCACTGCAGGGGAAAAAAAACAAAAAACAAAACAAAACAAAAACAGAAAACCATGAAGAAAGTGCTTTCTGTATGTGTAGGTGATATTAAAAATGCTCTCACTTTGGCTAAAGGCAGGGAAATTGTGACAACATATCTGGCAGCTTTATGTCAACAGCTTTATAATGGCTTATTGGCAAACTTCTTAAGTCATGAGAAGGAGTAGTATGGAAGGGAAAATAGGGGATGACAGAAATACCATCTATCGAAAGTTCCAGAAGGCAACATGTTGCTCCATGCAATTCAAATGAAGAAATGAGGTGAGAGTGTCTGGCATACAGCAGGTCCTCATTAAATATTAGTTTACTTTGAATCAAATTTAGTGAAGGAATTCATCCTGAAAAAAAATCTGTAAAAATCAAATGATTAATTTTGTACCTCTATTTAATACCAATCCCACTGTTTTTCTCTCTTCTTTAATAGTAGGGTCACAGTATTAGCTTCCACAGCATTCTGAAATATTTTGAGGCACCCAAGGTCAAAGTTGTGTACTCCCAGGTAACCACAGCAAGATTTTAATAGGAAAGAAATGATAGAGCATGTGAATTACCCTTCATCTTTTGTCCACCTCAAGCCCTCTGCAAAGTCACCTTCCACATAGGTAACTCTGTTCTGCGTTTCCCAGACGTGTCTCACGCGTGCCCCAGGCATATCTGCTCCTACTGTTTTTCTCTCACTAACAGTGAGCGCGGCACTGCCCTCTTCTGGACATCACAGAAACTGCTCTGTTTTGCCACTACGTATCTCTTCCCAGGGCACAATAATGTGGGGTGTAGCGTGTGGTGTGGCATATGTGGGGGGGGGGTGAGAGAGAGACAGGGAGAGAGAGAGAGAGAGAGAGAAATGTGATATAAAACATACCTGTCCATTTGGCATTGGAGAAGTCCCAAAGATATGTCACTTGTCACAATGTGTCCTACATTATGAACAGTTTAGGGAAATAATTCTTTAAGTTTTTTACTTGGGGCAATCAGAGATTCTGGAATTGAATTTGAATGCGAATGCCAGGCAGTACTTAAAATCCCTAGAACTGGATCCCTTGTGATGAGAAAGTCTTTGTTGGGATCGGGCCCATCACACTTAGTTGTTACTCCCCATTGGAGACGTGTTCTGGATCCCTAGCCTTTCCTCAAACAGATTTCTGTAGGACCATCTCACTAATTTGCATTCATGTTCAGTTAAGTCAGCAGACTAGTAGGCACAATCTGAGCTCCTTTGCATGAGGCTATTCCGCCCTCTGGCTCCTAAGTTCCTCCTGGGCCCATCCTAACAGGCATACTTAAATCTGTAGCTGACAGACTTCTAGGGTCCAGCTACAGATACACAGGTACAAAGACATGGACATATATCCTACCTGCCTCTACATGCGAGTGTGGGCACTTGGCTTAAATTCTAGCTATATCAGAATTTATTCATGTTTCATTGTTCACAGAAGGAATACAAAGATGATTTAGACACAGTTCCTATATCATAGCCATCGCAGTCTATATTGCTTCACTTTGTGTCTTCATAGATGTACTGTTCCTACTCAAAGCTTGACTGAGACTATTTTCTACTTAACTCTGAAAACATATCCCTTCTGAAGTTAAGATACTAGTATCAACAGCTCCTTACTCAGTCTCTATGGTTGAAAAGAAAGTATTACAATTCGGTATATGCAGGAAATGTGGAATTTGGTTCAGTGATGTTCCAATGTTCTTAACACTCTCTTTTCCCCCAGGTTATGCAGATGTATCTTCCATTTTGTGGAATTGCCATATCTAATGCTCAGCTATTTGCTGCCTCAAGGAAAGAATATGAAAGAAGCAGGGTGAGTAGAAAGAAACACTGATGACAACCCTTAAAGCTCTCTGTCTTTCAACTGTCTGTGAGTCATTATGTCTTTTAAAAACTGCAGATGCTCTTTGAATAGGCCAGAAAACTGTTTTATTTGTATAATCCTTCAAGTGTATGGTTGAAGATCTGCTTTAAGCAATGAGCTTAAACTGAAGCAGATACAAATTTTATGTTGTTATTTGGTGGAAATGATACCAGCTTCTTTTACAAAGAAAATTAGTTTCACATCTATACTGTAAGGCAGCAGATATAGTCTTGCTTATTCCTTTGAAACAATCACACAATTTATAGATATTTTTACAATTTAATTTCTTTAGGAAGCAAGTTATAAGTGATTTTACCCCACCTCACAAATTTTGTTTTTGAATTGAAAGGTTTTCTGAAAAACTAGCACAAAATAACTAGACAACATGAAAACACAATTTTATAGGATTATAAAGAAACACATGCAGAGATTGGTCTCATATACCTTCACCAGCTATAGAGTTAAATAGTTAAAAAACAAACAAACAAAAAGACTGATGTTTAAAAAATGCTAAACTACCAAATAGAGATTAAATTATATTAAGCTGACTATACTTTTAAATATAAGGAAATTACTGCCACAACTTGGAAATGTATTTAATAAAAATATGTTCCAAAAGGTTGGAAACCCTCAGTTAATTAGTAATCAAATTTATTACATTTCATTTGCTCAGCATTATGATTTATGAATGTTTCACAGTAAACAGATGGACGCAATTGACTACGACATCCATCTTCTTTAGCATAGCATACATACCACATGTTTTCTCTGTGTTGGATTTTGTTTTTATCTATAGCCCCATGTCTTACTATTCTCCTTTTATTTGACACTCCAGAAATACAGCCCTCAAGTTCCAGAAAACAATCTGTTTGTTTCACTTTCTCACACCTCTAGCCACATTTCTCCCTCTGCCTTCAATGCCTCATAACCACCTTTGTCCTCCTCTTGCCATTTGCCTTGCATTTCTATTAGGACCTACTTCAGACTTTTAGTTAATCTTCTTTGCATATTGTTTTTCCTTGTATATACTGCCATTGCTCGATTGTAGATACGTAGCACATTGTATATTTATTGATGGCCCTCCTCTCCAACTACATTTTGAACTCCTTAAGGAACACTTCATGTATTATTAATCTTTGCGTCCTCATGTAGGGCACAATTCATTGATTCATCCAACACGTATTTATTGTGTGGTGCTCTTCAGACACTGTCAAATAATATAGCGTAGGTAGTGATGAGTGCTATAAAGAAAAATGATGCTGAAGGATAGTTTTGGAGGGCATTTGTTTCAGTGGGCGATTAAGAAGGTCTCTATAAGGAGATGATATTTGAGCAGAGACTTGAATGCAATGAAGGAGCAAAGCCATGCAAAAATTTGGGAAGAGCATTCCAGGCAGTAGAAATATTAAATCAAAGGTCCTGGGTCCGGAGAAATCTTGGTCTGTGTGTCTAGAAAACAGAGAAGAAAGACCTCAAACAGCCAAAACAATACTGAAAAGAAGAACAAAGCTGGAGGCATCACACATCCTGATTTTAAATTATACCATGAAATTATAGTAATCAAAACATTATGGTACTGGCATCAAAAACAGACACTTAAACTAACAGAATAGAAACTAGAGCCCAGAAATAAACCCATGCATATACAATCAACATATATTTGATGAGGGAGCCAAGAATATGCAATGAGGAAAAGATAATTTTTTCAGTAAACGGTATTAGGAAAACTGGATATTTACATGCAAAAGAATGAAATTCACCACTCATGAAAATAAACTTGAGGGTGGGAGGGCAGTGGATGGGGGGAGGGGGGTTGTTACTTTGTGAGGGTGAAAAGGGTAACTATTGCATTGTTCTGTACACCTGAAACTAACAATTAAAAAAAAAATCATAAGGCCTGCAGAGATGAGCTACAGGAAAAAAAAAAAAAAGAAAATAAACTTGAAATGGATTAAAGACTTAAATGTAAGACCTAAAACTTTAAAACTCCTAGAAGAAAACATAGGGAAAGGCTCCAGTGATTTTTTTTTTTTTGGATCTGACTCAAAAGCACAAGCAACAAAAATAAAGTGAGACTGCATCAAACTAAAAAGCTTCTGCACAGCAAAAGAAATGATCAACAAAATGAAGAAGCAACCAAGAGAATGGGAGAAAATACTTGCAAACCATATATATCAGATAAGAGGTTAATATCCAAATACATAAGGAACTCATACAATTCAATAGCAAAAATACAAATAACCCAATTAAAAAATGGGCAGAGGATATGAATAAACAATTTTTTTCCCCAAAGAAGACCTACAAATGACCAACAGGTACATGAAAAGATACTTAACATCACTAAACATCAGGGAAATGCAAATCAAAACCATAATGAGACTATCACCTCACACCTGTTCGAATGGCTTTTATAAAATAAACAAACAAAAACAAACAAACAAACAAACCAGGAGATAACAAGTGTTGGCAAGGATGTGGAGAAAAGGAAACCCTTGTGAAACCTTGGTGAGAATATAAATTAGTGCATTCACTGTGGAAAACAGTATGAAGTTTCCTCACAAAATTGAAAATAGAACTTCCATATAATTCAACAACCCAACTTCTGGATATATGTCCAAAAGAAATGAAATCACTAGCTTGAAGAGATACCTGCACCCCCATGTTCATTGCAGCACTCTAACACATGGAAAAAACCTAAGTATCCATCAATGGATGACTGCATAAAGAAATTGTGGTATGTATACACAACAGATTATTATTCAGCCATAAAAAAGAAGGAAATCCTGCCCTTTGTAACAGCGTGTTTGGACCTTGAGAGCACTGGGATAAGTGAAATAAGTCAGACACAGAAAGACAAATACTGTATGATCTCACTTACATGTTGGATCTATGAAAAGCAGAACTCATAGAAACAAAGAGTAGAATGGTGGTTGCCAGGGGCTGAAGTGTGAGACAGATGGAGAGATTCTGGTCAAAGTGTACAAACTTTCAGTTATAAGATGAATAAGTTCTGGGGATCTCATATTCAGCATGATGACTATCCTTGACAATACTGTATTGTAGACTTAAAAGTTGCTAAGAGAGTAAATCTTAATGTTCTCTCCACAAAAAAAGATTATAACTCTGTGAGGTGATGCATAATGTTAACTAAACTTATTGTAGTAACCATTTCACAATGTATATGTGTATCATCTCCATGTTGTATACCTTAAACTTACACCAAGTTATATGTCAACTGTATCTCCATGTAGCTGGAAAAAAAAGAATGTGGCTGGGAATAGGGCAGTGAGAAGTGAGAGATTCCCCCCACCACTCCCAAATTACAAGGCTTACTGATGCGGAAATGAGTGAAAATAACTTTGGCTTATACCACCAGCAAGTAAACAGTTAAAAACAGTTATCAGAAGTTAAGATGTTAGGACTTGAGGTTAATATTTAGGAACCATCGCATATAGATGGTATGAACCCAGGGTATCAGGTGGGTTAATGTGGGGGAGAATGTAGGGAAAAGAGAAGAGAAGAGGTGCAAGGATGAGGCCAGGAGCAAACAAAGTTCACTAGAAGAAGGAGGGGGGACTGCACGTGAAGTCAGGAAGCGGGGAGTGTCTGACTACGGGAAAGGCTTCCAGGGTCTGTTGAATTACATATCATCCTACGTTTTCTTCTCTTTTTCTCCCATTCTAAAGGTAGTCTTCATTGTTATTTGTGAAACTTTTATCACATGTTAGTAAAAGCAGCAATTTTTAATTAGGAACAATAAAATTACTATAATATGATTTGTAAGTGCAAGACTCAAGGCAGAATGAGTTTTTCCTCTGAGATACATGTTCTTGTACCTGGGTCCCAGAAGATCCATGAAGTCACAAACAAATTGAGAAGTTAAATAATTGTTCAGTTAATGTGATCCATCTGAAGAAATAGTCTGGTTGATTAAGGAAATAATGTTTCCCCCTTAATAACAGAGAATTTTATTGGTAATTATTCAGATAATTGCCTCATCTTTAATGTTACTTTTGAATGTGAAATCATTGCACATTGAACTCTTATGGTGATTTGCTGTCCAAATGCCAAACAGCCAGGATGCACATAAAACTTTCTTCGCCTCCTGGTGTTTCTCTTTGCTTTGGGATCATAGAGCACTCCTTAGCCATAGTCACAAGCTCTCTTTAGAGAAAACACTACCCAGGATAGTTGGTCATTTTTTAGATGCTCAGTGAACTAGACTCATTTCATGGATCCCTTAACTCATTCAAATGGTTTTCTACCTGAGTAGATGCAGAAAAGATGTTTCAGATGATTTCAGGACAAATCAAATTCATTACCAAAGTTGAAAATTAGTCATGTTCCTGGAATGATGATCAACGCCATCTACCTGAATAGATGTGAATTTGCTTGAAAACCTATGAAATCCTTTTGTGAGAGGTCAGGCTTGAGAGTGCACATCTTATTAAATTCTATTGAATAAAGCACCCTCTGGCCAATTCACTGGCTGTGTAATTTTCTGATTACTTTGATAGCAGCATGATATGTACTGCCTGTGCATAGCCCAAAGATTCTTAAACCTCTGTAAACTTCCATGTAATGAAAAATTCCAAATAAATACTATTTCAGTGCAAAACTTGCAAGCTAATTTAGCTGGATAAAATAACACGTTACTGCAATTTGATTTTTAAATAAGCACACAGTTTTTAAGTCAGAATTTAGATTTTTTTCTTTTCATTCTGCTGTATTAACAGAAATTCTAATGGTGTTTTCTATCCTGAGATATATAATGGTATTTGTGTGTTCTCCTGGACAGATTGAGATGAAGCAGTACTTCTTATGTAAAAGGCTTAATGGGGTTTTATATATTTTGAAGGCTCTGAAACTTAATTAGCATTCACCACTATCATTCTTTCATAGTTCTGTGAGAGATGTGTTATTAGTGAAAATAAGTCTCAAGTGTGACCACAAAGCTATTTCTTCCTGATGGTAAGGAAGGGCTTTGTAGTTTTCTGAAATAAATGTGCTTTGGAGAAAATCAGGTATTCATTACTTATAAATTGTTGGATTTATACCTAGTCACATAGCAGAAAAAAACCTACTGTGACGGAGATGGGGGCGGGAAGCCTATAATTAATGATGATATGGCTCATGTAGTCATTAGCTATATGAGATACAGTCATATAGCTATATGTGGTATTTATATGGGATTACACAGACTGGCCCTATTCTCAAGTTGTATTTTGTAGTTCAAGACTGTGTTATAAAACAAAATGATGGAAATATGCCAAAATAATCAAACGCTTTAAAAACTAGCCATAGGAAATATTTATATTTTATTATAGCAAAAACTAAATAGAATTTTGAGAGAAAAACACTCAATGTTTTTATTCAGTACTATGGCCGCCTAAATACATCCATTTTATCTTTCCTAGGCTTTGCTAGAGGTGGTTAACGACCTCTTTGAGGAACAGACAGACCTGGAGAAAATTGTCAGGAAGATAATGCATCGGGCCCAAACGCTGCTGAAATGCGAGCGCTGTTCTGTTTTACTCCTAGAGGACATCGAATCACCAGTAAGTCATCTTTTATCTGTCACGTAGCATTGACGACTGAGTTAACGGAATAAAGTTTAATTTCTTTGTAATTAAGCTTGTGAAATTGTGACTTGAACCACTCTCTTCATGACTCTTCTAACCATGGGGGTGACTTATACAATTTTAAGTTTTTAATCTCCCTTACATGTTTTATTTTGCTCTCACCTTAGAAACATAGACTCTTACGCCGATGAGGACCTTAGCTATCTATCCCAGTCCCACGTATTTACAGATGAGGGAGCTAAGAGATTAAATGATTAGCCCAATCTCACACAACTGGGTAAGAGACAAGCTAGGGTGCCAGTCTCCCATCAGTTTCAACCCAGCAAGCGGAAGGCCCTCAGTATTTATGGGCATGGACTGAAGCCCAAATACTACTCCACAGCCCTGTTCGGGGTAGGAAGAAGCAGACTAATGCTGGAGAAGCGGTGTGCTTTGCCCTTGGAGCCGAGACAGTTTGTGCTTAGCTGAGTGGAGTGTCATGCCTCCGGTGGGCTGTGCTGTGCAGCCTCCAGGTTCTTTTACTGCTGCTTTGGCCCTGGACACTTGCACAGAGACCCCCCCCCAGTCAGGTAGAGGAGGCTCTGTTTCTTCTTCACCACGGGGATTCCTGTTACTCCAAAGGCAAGCATTAAAATAGCTGAAGGCCTCAGGCCTGCTGCATCTGGCTTTCAGGTTCTGTTAGGTAAGTCCTTCGGCTCTTGGGGGGAAATCTTCTGGGCAAATACACAATATTGAAAATAATGATCACCATCAATCTATCTTCCTGAAAGTTTAATGTCTAAACCCTTGGCAGCAGTTTAATATATTTGTTGTGAACTCTCTTCAAAAACCAGGAATTGTCTCGCAATTAAGTGATGTTTTAATACCTCAGAGAATGATATTTTACTGCACTTTACTTAGAAAAAGGTTACTGTCTTTGCCTTTCAGTTTGCGTTCCTCAGAGAATAAGAACCCAGTATTGTAAAACTTACATCATTAAGTTTTTTAAAAAATCTATATGTCTAAAATGTTTAGGAGTGATTGCCCATATTTTAACAGAGCTTGAGGTTATTTCTATTTCAGCAGGGGTGGTTTAAATCAACAGCCTTGCAATTATCCTGCGATTGTATAAAGCCCAGTGGAACCTTGGGAGAACACACACACACGCCCACCAGCCCATACTTATGGAATGCTTCTGTATGCTTTGTGAAGCACCTGAATTCATTTAATCCTTACTGCATCCTTATGAAATAGGTGTTATTATTATCATCCACATTTTATAGATGAGGAAATAAGGCTGAGTGGTGAGTGATGTGCTAGAGCCTCCCCCACCGCCAGACTCTAAAGGCCCTGAAAGGAATGGGAAAGGTGTCGGGGTGCTTGTTGGTGCCTAGCAGGCTAGGAGCTCTTACTAGGCAAAGGCGGGAAGGGGCAGCTATTAGGGCTTCTGCTGCCAGGACTCCCCAAGTCACACCCAGGTCCCTGTGAAGGCCAGTGGCTGAGGGGCCAGGTGAAATCTGGACAAGGTCAAGCTCATTGCTTTCTAGTTCAGATGGAGACAGACAGGGAAGTAATTTCAATCAGCTGAAGGAGGTCATCCTTGCCAATCTGCAAACATGAACTGGTTATTATACTGGGGTCTTGCTCTTTGGCAAATCAAATGAACAAGCACAGATGACAGGAGTTGATGTGGAAGGAGTGGGCAGAGTTGGAGGCAATAGTAGTGACAGTAATAGCTTCACAGTATAAAGTATGGAGAGGGGTCGAAAAAACGCTAGCTTAGATGGTACAAGCAATCACAGTGTTGGTGTATTACTGAAAGTTAAAAAGACCTTTGTACTCTCACAGTTGAACATTCCAAGACTGCAGTCGTGGGGTCAGAGCAGAAAATTCTTGGAGACTCCCAATCATTTCTTCTTTTTGCCCATCCACCACACCCCTTCAACATGAGAATGAACTCCTATAATCCAGACAGGCAGGGTCTGGGGGTGAAAGTGAACTATGGGCAAAAAGAGGAGACTAATCTGCTCACTACTGTTTTAGAAGCTGTGAAGATTTCTGCCAAGGCTGCTGCTGCCTGGGGAGGTGGTAGGGGCCTGGAGGGTGGGTATGGGATATGTATGTGTGGCATCACCATGCAGAAAACCCATCAGTGTCATGGCTTCCTTTATCACACTTCTTACCAAAGGTTTCTCAAAACTTCAAATTTAAAGGGGCCACTATTCTGTGTACTACCACAGTCATCAGGGAGAAATTATAGAAACAAGACCAGACACAGTCACTCCATGTACAGGAGGAGAAGTCAGACTGAACAGGGCAGCAGATGCCAAAATCTGGCACTAGAGCAGTGGTTTCAACAAACAGAAAACCCTGCAGAGACCAGTTTCTCTGGCTGGAACTTCCCCTTCCTCATCTCAAAATGCTGCATGGATAGACTGGTATTAAAAACCTTTGTGATCTAGATTTTTTTTTTAATGAAAATTTATTGGGGTGACAATGGTTAGTTAAATTACATAGGTTTCAAGTGTACATTTCTATAATACATCGTCTGTATATCACATTGTGTGTTCACCACCCAGAGTCAGTTCTCTTTCCATCACCATATATTTTACCCTGTTTACTCTCATCTACCACCTGCCTCACCCCTTACCCTCTGTGATCTAGATTTAATGAGGGGCTTGAATGATTATCAGGGAGGGGACCCCAGCAACACCTGTAAACACTATTTTATTTTATTAACAATGCAAACCCAGATAGACTCCTATTCAAAGATGAGAAAACAAAAAGCAGAACTTGACAATATGGTTTTTAATTTCTAAAAGTTCATGTGGAAAATAAACATGAACGAGTAGCCAGAAAATCTGTTGAAAAGGCAACAAAAACGAAGGTTTCTTATGTGAAGCTGTTACAATGTACTATAAACTGAAGGTCAGTTCCTCATAAATAAATAGCTGAATAGAACAGAGTCCAAAATATTGCAATGCACGTGAGAATCGTAAGCAAAGCCTGCTCTCTTACTTGCTGAGTTTAGAAAATTGTTTCTAAAAACAAAAGTGTGTTGGAGGACTAGAGAGTTTTACACTTAGAATGACAGAGTTTATTTTATTGCAAGTATTTCAACAATAAAGATGTTTTTTTATAATTTTAAAGGAATACATATACATTTCAACATCACCAAGCAAATCCAGAATTCCATTATACCTTTCCCTTACTACTTCTGAGCTTTTCTTCTTTGTTATTACCAGCAGAATTACAGAGGATGCTTCTAGACATTCCTGATCACCTTTGATGCCCCTGGTACCACTGGCCTGGCTCCCTTTGTCCCCCAAGGGCCACAGGGACAACAGTGGGTGGAATTTTAGAAGAGCAACATAGTGCTGGGGAATCTATTTCTTTTACATTGAGTGGTATCAAGCCCCTGCTGTTTGGGGAGAGGTGTTACCTCATCTCTCAAGTTTGCTCACTTCAAACAGTCCTGAGAAAGGAACCAGATAGAGAAATCAGGGCCCTGCAGTCTTGGCACACATAGGGAAGCTCTCCACTCAGGGCTCATGTGGATTGCCTCTCCCAACATGTATCTTGGTTGCATGAAATATTTTAATTTTAGTGTGTCCAATTTATCAGTCTTCCTTTTTGATTTGTGCTTTATGGGTTTTATTTTTTTTAAATGTATCTATCTCCATGTTAGGATGACTTTCTGTTATATTTCCTTTAACCCATCTGGCATTTATGATCTCTTATATCCATCTAGAATTTTTTGTGTGTGTATGGTGTAAAGCTGAATATGTTTAGCCATGGTCTCAGAACTGTTTCCCCCCTACCACCACTTTGTAATGCTACTTCTACATTATATCAAGTTACTTTATACACCTGGGTCTGTTTCTGAGCTCACTATTTTGTCCCACAGTTCTGTTTGTCTGTTTCTACACCAGTATCACAGTCTCATTTTCTATAATTACACAATATTCTTTGGTATCTGATAGGGCAAGTCCTCCCTGTTGTTCTTCTTTAAAACTGGCTTGCCTACTTTTGACCTGTTGCTCTTCCATATAGATTTTAATAGCAGCTTATCAAATTCCATGAAAAACTCTAGAGAGAGTTTGGTTGAAATTGCTTTAATTTATATATTAATTTAGGGGATTGCTGCAAGTAATAGAATATACAAGGGAAAGTGGCTTAAACAAGAAGATTTGTATCTTATATAACAAGTCTGCAGGAGGCGATTCTGGGGATTGTGCAGCACGGATGATATAATCAAGAGCCCACGCTCTGTCCACTTTCCTGTGTTAGTCTCAGTGGTCAGCCTTCACCAGCTGGCTTTTCCTTCAAGGCCCAGGAGGCTGGCACAGCTCCAGGCAGCATGTCAGCTATGTACCAGGAGAAGAAGAAAGGAAAATCTCTTTTCACATATCTTTATTTTTCTCAGGGAGGAAAGTGATATCCAAAAGAAACTTTTCTTATTGACTTCCCATGACCCATTAGTCAAGAACAAGATGATGTTGTTCAAATCATTTCTATTCTTAATATTTGTCTGTTCTTCATTTATCATTCTCTGATAGAAGTGTGTGTTCATATCTTCAACCTAACTGAGACTTATCGATGCCTTCTTGTCCAATCTGTAGGTTGTTGATTTAGTTATCTATATTAATATGGTTTATGTGTTTCTTTTAATTTGGGATTACAGCTCATTTCAATGGGAAGCATTTTTGTTCATTTGTTTGTACCATTGTTTTCTTTTATTCTCTCCTACTCTCCCCTCCCTAATAGTTTGCACAGTTTCTTGGCCCCTAGTCAAGAACCAGGTCTTATATTGGTGGCTTGCATCTCCTGCTGTGTGATAATATTACACTAAGCAAGAGGCAGTTCGGTTCAATTTCTAGAGGTGAAGCTGCGTCATCTGTCTCGAAGGAACACTTTTAGTCCCCAGACCCCAGGAGTAGCTGACATTTCAGCTCTCGCTGCCTGCCTATATCTGGACTTGGGGCACAGTAGGCCTC